GTGTTTCTGATTGCTGCATAGCAACCCCCTCTCTGGTGATGTAAGGCTGAACTCCACTAATGCTGCGAGGTGGGAGCATACTCTCTTGCTCCGCCGCTGCCGGTGGTAGTCTCGTRTCTGAACTCGCTTCAGCTGCCTCCGGTCAGCCACGTAATGTGAGTGGACGCAGTGCCGCAGCACTACCGTCATCCTGCATTACCTCATCAACACCGATGTCTCCCTCGATCTCAGGAKGACGCATCAACGGTCCGCTGCCCTCTAGCGCTTCCGGGATTACTACGGAGGACCCTATCCGCGCTGTCGTGTGCATACTCTTCGTATTATTTCGTGCATAATTGCTCCGATCATCCTGCTCGATCCGCTCCTCATGGGCGTCATCGATGAGAGAGTCCTAAGAAAATGGAATCTGCTCAGCTGCAGGGATTCGTGGTCGTGGTATGGTTGAATCCCCACTGCGAAGTCTGCGCACACGAGAACTGATAGTGTCTTATTCCTTTGGTCCACGTCTTAAGCCCTAAAGAAGTCCTAGACCTTCCTCGTCCACTTCACCTCCATGGTCATCCGAGGCTGCGCAGTGGTCGACGTCCATGRYAGTCATCCCTCTGTCTGTGWCTTCACGTGTCGAGCCCACTGCGCCTGTCCCTGCACGACCGTCACCGTCACCATGACCGTCGCCCACTGCCCCGTCATTGTCGTCCAATCTGTCACCATCTCCATATCTCGATCATCCTGCACCGGTCCCCGCCCCAACGTCACCCTCATCACGGTAATTTCCCGCTGCCTCGTCAGGCCCTCTGTCACCATCTCAACGTGCCGAGTCGGGTCGTGGCCGATCTCTTTCATCACCACGATCATCGCCTCCGGCGCCATCATCGTCGTCTCCGTCCACGTGGCGTTCATCAAGATCGTTGTTGTCATCCGATGCAGGCGTGCCAGTCCCAAAGAAATCCTCATCGTCACTGGACGAGCTTTCATACAAGAAGTCTACCTCGTCCCAATGCTGTCGAGGTTTGCGTACAAGCCTGTCCACAGGCAGTCGACGACTCACGATAGACCTCCTCCCGCTAGCACCTCCACGCCCGCCTCGTCCACAATCTCCCCGACGACCACCCCCACGCCCGCCGCTACAATGCCTTCTCCGCAGTCGACGCGTGGCTCCCATGTGGGATCCCATGTGGGACACGACGGGCATCCTCTGTCTCGCCTGTATCAACTCCTCTTGCGTCACCGTCGCACGGGCTCCTCAACCTGAGACAACCTGCTCGTCAGTAGGCAACTCGTCTTCCACCTGCTGCAAGTAGTGCACCCAACTCCCGTACGGATGCGTCTTATCATTGGGAGCATCGTTCGGCATAGCCTGCCGGTCAAGAAGCCGAAGGTTCTAGTGGCATTGCACGAGCTTCTCGGCCCTTGTCACCTCCAACCTGTTACGGGAAGCTCCAGCGGGACCAAACTCTCTCGCAAGGTGATGCCATCGCCCAGACACGTAGTATCCTGCCGACGAAAAAAGGCCGTATGAGGGAACCTTTTCTCCTTCGACTCCCAGAAACTAGCTGGATGGTTATAGCTCCGCGCGGCTCGATCCATGGCCACGTCGTCGAACAGTGGCTCCCAAGTATGAAACTTGTCGATGGCAGTGAAGACCTCCTTGTGTTAGTTCGAGCTCTCTAGGTACCCGAACTAATCCAAAGCAGCTTTCAAATCCTGCTGCATCATGCCGTCGTCTGGCAGCGTGTGATCTCAAAACTCTTGATCCAACATCATGGCAGCCACCGTCGGCGACTTGAACATGGTTCAGCGTCTGTCAAAGACCTCAAGCACTGCATCCTGCTCCTCGTCAAAAGCAACATATAGAGACAAACAGTGTACAACCATCTCGTTGTACCGACGCAAAATCTTGCCAATCTGCCTCGTGTCGCTGTCCACCATCTCCAACGTCTCATGCAAAGCACTCCCATATGTGAGACCTCCCCTCTTGGGTGATCGACACCTGGACACGCAACAACAACCCCCTCCATCAATGCAGGCGGTGGCCGGAAAGCGATGTCATCTGCATCGGCACCTTATGCGCTGTCGAGGTTTGCATACAAGCCTGTCCACAGGCAGTCGACAACTCGCGATAGACCTCCTCCCGCTACCACCTCCACGCCCGCCTCGTCCACAACCTCCCTGATGACCACCTCCACGACCGCCGCTACAATGCCTCCACAGTCGAAGCGTGGCTCCCATGTGGGACACGACAGACATCCTCTGTCTCGCCTGTATCAACTCCTCCTGCGTCACCGTCGCACGGGCTTCTCAACCTGAGACAAGCTGCTGGTTAGTGGGCAACTCGTCCTCCACCTGCTACAAGTAGTGCACCCAACTCCCGTACGGATGCGTCTTATCATTGGGAGCATCGTTCAGCATAGCCTGCCGGTCAAGAAGCCGAAGGTTCCAGTGGCATTGCACGAGCTTCTCGGCCCTTGTCACCTCCAACCTCTTACGGGAAGCTCGAGTGGGACCAAACTCTCTCGCAAGGTGATTCTATCACCCAGACACGTAGTACCGGCGAAAAAAAGTCGTATTCGACTCCTAGAAACTAGCTGGATGGTTATAGCTCCGCGCCGCTCGATCCATGGCCACGTCGTCGAACGGTGGCTCCCAAGTATGAAAGTTGTCGATGGCAGTGAATACCTCCTTGTGTTAGTCCAAGCTCTCTAGGTACCCGAACTGAACCAAAGCAGCTTTCAAACCCTGCTACATCACGTTGTCGTCTGGCAGCGTGTGATCTCGAAACTCTGGATCCAACATTATGGCAGCCACAGCCGGCGACTTGAACATGGTTCGGTGTCTGTCAAAGACCTCAAGCACTGCATCTTGCTCCTCGTCAAAAGCAACACATACTGACAAACAGTGTACAACCATCTCGTCGTACCGACGCAAAATCTTGCCAATCTGCCTCGTGTTGCTGTCCACGATCTGCAACATGTCCCATGCAAAGCACTCCCATATGTGAGACCTCCCCTTCAAGGCGATCGACACCTGGACAGGCAACAACAATCCCCTCCATCAATGCAGGTGGTGACCGCGAGGCGCTGTCATCTGCATCGGCACCTTGTGTCTCTGATTGCTGTATAGCAACCCCCTCTCTGGTGACGTCAGGTTGAACTTCACTAATGCTGCGAGGTGGGAGCATACTCTCTTGCTCCCCCGCTGTCGGTGGTCGTCTCGTGTCTGAAGTCATTGCAGCTGCCTCTGGTCAGCCACCTGACGTGAGTGGACGCAGTGCCGGAGCACTACTCTCATCCTGCATTACCTCATCAACACCAATGTCTTCCTCAATCTCAAGATGACGCATCAACAGTTCGCTGCCCTCTAGCGCTTCCGGGATTACTACGGAGGACCCTATCGGCGTTGTCGCATGCATACTCTTCGTATTATTTTGTGCATAACCGCTCCGATCATCCTGCTCGATCCGCTCCTCATGGGCGTCATCGCTGAAAGAGTCCTAAGAAAATGGAATCAGCTCAGCTGTAGGGACTCGTGGTCGTAGAATGGTTGAATCCCCACTGCGAAGTTTGCGCACACGAGAACGAGCAGACGAGAACTGATAGTGTCTCGTTCCTTTGGTCCACGTCTCAAACCCTGAAGAAGTCATGGACCGTCGTCGTCCCCTTCATCTCCATGGTCATCCGAGGCTGCACAGTGGTCGACGTCCATGGCAGTCATCCCTTTGTCTGTGTCTTCACGTGTCGAGCCCACTGCGCCTGTCCCTACACGGCCGTCACCGACACCATGACCGTCGTCCCCTGCCCCATCATTGTCGTCCACTCTGGCACCATCTCTATATCTCGATCTTCCTTCACCGGTCCCCGCCCCAACGTCACCCTCATCACGATAATCTATCGCTGCCTCGTCAGACCCTCTGTCACCATCTCTACGTGTCGAGCCGGGTTGTGGCCGATCTGCCCCATCACCACGATCATCCCCTCTGGCGCCATCGTCGTCGTCTCCGTCCAGGTGGCGGTCATCAAGATCGTTATCGTCATCCGATGCAAGCATGCCAGTCCCAAAGAAATCCTCATCGTCACTGGACGAGCTCTCATACAGGAAGTATCCCTCGTCCGAACGCTGTGGAGGCTTGCGTACAAGCCTGTCCACAGGCAGTCAATGACTCGCGATAGACCTCCTCCCGCTAGCATCTCCACGCTCGCCTCATCCACGACCTCCCCGACGACCACCCTCACGACCACCGCTACAATGCCTCTTCCGCAATCGACGAGTGGCTCCCATGTGGGACACGACGCGCATCCTCTGTCTCGCCTGCATCAACTCCTCCTGCGTCACCGTCGCACGGGCTCCTCGACCTGAGACAAGCTGCTGGTCGGTGGGCAACTCGTCCTCCACCTGCTGCAAGTAGTGCACCGAGCTCCCGTACAGATGCGTCTTGTCATTGGGAGCATCCTCTGACATAGCCTGCCGGTCAAGAAGCCGAAGATTCCAGTGGCATCGCACGAGCTTCTCGGCCCTTGTCACCTCCAACGTGTTACGGGATTTGGAGTGGATGGAGCTCCAGCGGGACCAAACTCTCTCACAAGGTGATACCGTCGCCCAGACAAGTAGCATCCTTCCTGCGAAAAAGGCCGTATGAGGGAACCTATTCTCCTTTGACTCCTTAAACTAGCTGGATGGTTATAGCTCCGCGCCGCTCGATCCATGGCCACGAAGTCGAACGGTGGTTCCCAAGTATGAAACTTGTCGATGGTAGTGAAGACCTCCTTGTGCTGGTCCGAGCTCTCTGGGTACCCAAACTGAACCAAAGCAGCTTTCAAACCCTGCTGCATCTCGTCGTCGTCTGGCAGCGTATGATCTTGAAACTCTGCATCCAACATTGTGGCATTCACATAAGCCGGCGACTTAAACATGGTTCGGTGTCTGTCAAAGACCTCAAGCACTGCATCTTGCTCCTCGTCAAAAGCAGCACATACAGACAAACAATGTACGATCATCTCGTCGTACCCACGCAAAATCTTGCCAATCTGCCTCGTGTTGCTGTCCACCATCTGCAACATGTCCATAATGGGATCAAATAACTTGCACACAACTTTCATATCCTCCCACCTCAGAGGACAACAAACACTTGATGTGACCTTCGTGGCATCATGTTGAATCTTCTTCGTCGACCAAACCGTGTCTTTCCATCGATCATCGATGACCACGTGCATAAGATGCGCTTGCAACTGAAGAAGTCGCCGCATCATAATGACATCCGTGCCAAAGGAGTCTCAGCGGGAAGCAACAAAATGCCATCGACGTGAAAGCTTGCAAAACCTTGCGGATATGATTATGGCGCTTGAAAAACTTTGTGACCACCCGCGTCTGAGCAATGCGAGTCGCCACCCACTCAATGTCGCCGATGTCGTCAGGGATGAGGTCCATGACGTGCGCCACACAAGGGATCCAAAAGATGTGTTTCACACTCTCGTTCTTCTGGAACACCTCCATCGTGGAAACATTCGAACTAACTGAGTCCGTGACAAAAGCGGTGATGTCTGCGAGCTTGATGTCAAGGGACTTCAACCTTTTCAGCCAAGCCTGCGCTAGAGCAGTGAAATCCTTCTTTCCTCGCATAACATCTGTCGCGACATATATGTGGGGCACCGCGTAGTCCCGACGTGGTAGTTGCACAACGTCTGACCCCGAATGTTGGTCCATCCATATGTCATGATCGTGCAACCGAAGTTGGCTGAAGTAGTGAGGACAGGTTTCACACACTTTTGGACTTCCACATCAAGCTCATCCAAAAGTGTGGTACGGATCATGTGATATGTGGGGGGTTTCGAGGTGGACGCTTCGGGAACTCCTGGTGGGATGATCACCGTTAACATGCGTTTGAAGCTCTGAAGCTTCACGTAGTTGAACAACATGCCACTCTCAACAATGAATTGCATGATCTGCAGGTATGATGTGTATAAGAGACAGGTCGGGAACTCCTGGTGGGATGATCACCGTTAACATGCGTTTGAAGCTCTGAAGCTTCACGTAGTTGAACAACATGCCACTCTCAACAATGAATTGCATGATCTGCAGGTATCGTGCGTGCTCCAGAGGGTCACTGCAATACGAGGTTACTTCCTGTTGCCTGAAACTGCCTCTCCCTCGCGCACCGGCGCCATTACCTAGCGAATCCCACACTCCACCGCTGACCGCAGGTAATGTGGTAGGACCCGGACTTGGAGCTGCAATATTGCGCAAATTATGTAAAGGACCCAATGTTCCAAATACACCGTACTACGAGGTCGAGGCGTTCACGGGTGCAGGCGTGGGTGACGAATCCGGAAACTGAACGGGGTCGTCGGGCGCGACTGTCCCCGCCCCCTCAGGGACCGCTGCAGCGGCCTCTCCAACATGTGCCGAAGGGAAGTCAAGTGTAGGACCTCGTGTTTTGCAAAGGAGGGGGTGGCAACCACGGATAAGCAACGGATTGATGCCCCGTTACTGTTTGTCCCACCACGGGCGGACCTGTGGCTGCACGTGAAACTCTTGCAACCCTATCCCTGTTCTCAGTGAACAATAGGGCGAGGCCGGCTGATGTGCCTGCGTCCTTCCCCCACCCACGACCCTCAACAAAAGCACGAGTCCCTGGCTCGTCGAACTGCACAGGTCCCTCGACACCCGAAATTGGCACGGGGCCCAGCGCATCAGGCTGCGCTACTAACGACGGTGTGACACGCGAATCACGTGCACACCCACCAGAAACCGCACCAGCAACGGTTGCTTGAATCGTCGGATGAAGCGGTGCAGGTGAGACTGCCGCCGGACGAGGGGGGAGCACTTCACATGGAACAAGTGGAGATGGTGCCACCTGCGAGGGTCGACGGACGACGGGGGCGGTGAAACGGCGTTCTCGGAAAAACGAATTGGTGGCCACTGAAAAGAGGGATGACCTAGAAGGAGAGACTGCAAAGCCTGCACGGCAGAAGTCGATTGTGCAAAACACTTCGACATATTCTTTGACCAAATTGTGTGCCATACCATCGGAGTCGCCGCGAGGCATCTGTAGCCCTCATCACGGAAAAACTGTTCCTTTGCATTGCGAGCACCTCTACGAATAGAACAACCACATAACATGCATTTACAGTGACGACCGTTCTTTCTCCCGAGCACAGTGGATCCATCTAAATAACGACTATGAGTGACAAAATGCCAAACAAGATCATCTCGTTTCGCATCTGCCTTTGGATCAACCCTGAATGGGGAGTCAAAGTCTTCATGTTTTGATATTTTTTACCACAGTCCAACTTCTTCCCCGTTGCCGAGGAGGAATCCGCGAGGCCCTTCCCACTGTTGCCGCGTGGGTCAGACATGTTGCGCACCCCGAAGAAAATGTATCTAAGGGTAACTGAAACGAAATGCGGCAACGAAGAACTGCACTGAAGAACTGATGAATCACCCTGAAAAAGATGGACCACAAGGTCCACAACAACCACATTGACAAACAAGAGAAGCAAAAAACATAAAGAAAATAAAAAAATTGAAATGATGACATCATACAAATAGATTTTCCTTCCCCATGCAGCCATAGACCCCTTTCCCGCTAACCCCCGCTGCATTGTCGCTCATGGTGGTTCACCTGTCTCAAAGGAAAAAAAAAAACAAAAAAAAAACAGACCCTACTACGGGCCTTCGTTACTGCATTTCAACAAACAACCATCGCCCGCCCCCCTCCCACCACTTGTTGACCTCTTTCCCCCGAAACCCCCACTGCATTGCCGCTCATGGCGGTTCACCCGTCTTAAAGAAATAAATAAATAGAAAAAAACAGACACTACGACGAGCCTTCGTCAGAATCGTTACCGCATTTCAACCCCCCCCCCCCCCCCCCCCCCCGCCACACGTTGACCCCTTTCCCCCAAGCCGACACTACATTGCCGCTCATGGCGGTTCGCCCGTCTCAAAGAAAGAAAGAAAAAAAAAAACAGACCGTACGATAGACCTTCGTCAAAACATTTCAACAAACAACCCCCCCCCTCCCCCGGCACACGTTGACCTCTTTCCCCCCAAGCCCCCACTTCATGGCGGTTCACCCACTTAAAAAAAATAACAAAAGAAAAACAGACCCTACGACGTGCCTTCGTTACCACATTTCAATTTTCAACAACCAACCTCCTTCCTCACCCTAACCCCCGCAACCATAGGCCCCTTTCCCCCTTACCCCCATTGCATTGCCGCTCATGGCGGCTCACCCGTCTCAAAGAAAGAAAAGAAAAAAACAAAAACA